ACCGAACATTCGAGTGTATCTTTTGCTCTATTTTTCTTAGGTGAATACACAAATATTGTTGTAATCTCAACTTAGTTTTTCATTTTATTTTTTGGTGTTTCAACTGCTTTACCTATGCTTTTCTTTTTCATCTGGTTAAGAGCTAGTTTAGCTCGTTTAAGATTTGATCAATTACTTGTATTAGGTTGGGCACATATTTTACCTTTTACTATTGCCTATATTCTATTCTTACCTCCTTTCATATTCACTTTCGATATTCTCGGTTGATTCTCTTTGCTGTTTCGAGCGGAGCTAGCTTCGCGGTTGGTATGATACCTTGGTCCCGGGGTCTATTCATAAACACATCATGGTTACAATATGAATAGAAAGGGCAGCAGGAATTTGGGATGGCTTATCACCTTTAGCTGTAGCAGTTTTAGATTTCTAACTGTTTATATTTTAGGATTTACCTTTCATTATTTTAATAATTAGTTTTGAGTTATTAGTTTTAGGTTATACTTTAGGATATACTTCTAAGGATCTACATGGTACCTATTGGTATAACTGTTTCTACTATTGGGATTATATTTGTGGTATGAATCTATGTTATACTTTATTAGGACTGTTTATATTTTAGGATTTATCATTCATCCTATTTAGGTCTCCTCTTCTACCCTAGGACCTTCTAGATGTAACTGTTACTTTTTAGCTCGAGTCCCTCTTACCTACGATTGTGATTGCACTAGGTTGTAGTAACTATTGTCCTAGATTTAGATGATCAACCAGTGATCTAATTGTGTCCCACCAATCATTGCAGTTGCTTCAGGTGCAAGCACCTCAGAGGCATCTAGTTACAGGAATTACAATTTACCTCTCAGAGGATTATTGATAAGGTGCTTGGGCCTGGTGTATCAGCACCCTAGGTTGCTTGTCCTCGATTGCATCTTTTCTCTTATTTTATTGTTTCTTAGTAGCGTAGCTACGAGAGGCTGAGCATCTAGTTACCAACTGGTACAATCACAGTTATTGTAGTTGCAGAAGGGTCGTAGGAGTCCGCAGGGACCAACACAACCACAGGTACCGCAACGCAAGCGTCAGCTCATCGCAGGCACCGACTAGGAATCTCAACGGGTCATCTTTTATTTAATTGGATCTACTTCATCTAGATATTTGACCTCGTACCACTTTACCATCGGGTCAACTATTCCGTTACTAGTTACCAACTTTTATTCTATTGCCTATGGGGTCGATTGTCCCCATCTTGATTTATCTTTTGATTAAATTGCAACCACAACTAGACGATGCAAATCTATGATAAGCTCAGCTACTGCTTATTTAAATATAGCTTCAATTGAGATGGTACCAATCTAACCCATTATTAATTAAAATAGTTACTAATATTACTAATACCTAAACCCAATAAAACCAAATAGAGGTATAACCTAAATAATATAAATATTATTACTAATTACTATAAGAGAAGGTATAACCTAAAATAGAATCAATTATAATAGAATAACAGTAAAAGTAGAAACAGTTATAAGTAAGGATCTATCCTAATAAATACAGGTAAAACTTAAAGATAAATACCATTACAACCTAATCATAAATAAGATTAATCATTCACATGGTACCTAATTAGATAAGAAGATAAGTACAGGTAGAACTTAAGATTAATTAGAAGTAAAGATAAAAGATAGAATAGAAATAAATATTAAGAGGATAACTATTACAGTTAAAGGTAATAACTAGTAGTAATAGTAGCGAATCAATCCCAATTTAAATATAAATACTAGAAGTAGAACATAGAATAGTAATCCTAAATAATATAAATAGTAGAACATAAAATATACCTAAAACAGGTAGAATAGTATAAATCATAATACAAATATAAGTAAAAGTATAACCTAAAATATACATCTAATATAAGTTAAAACCAAAAGATCATCCAAAACCAATCTCATTCTTCTATTCATAATCTCACACATATGTGCTTATGAATTAGAGCCATTTCTTAAAAAGGGCTAAATATGATAATTGAAATATTGGTCTGAGGTCGAACATGTACCTATATGACCTAGGTAGAGCGTAGCCTCGGTTGTCCCTCTACAACCGGACCGAATCTAGAATCGATACCAACTAGATTCTACTACAAATAGAGATGATCTACTAGTAACAGGTATAACCTAGGAAGGTATCACCTAAAATAGAAATAATCAATCTCAACAATAATATTAGAGAGGGTCATACCAACCCAAGGGGACCCGACCGGTTGTTGATCCTAAATAATTAAAAAAGAAAAGATACTAGTTGGTATCATCTAATTGGGATCCCATCAATAATTGCAGGTGATATAATTTAGGATCCCAAACCCGTGAGCAAATCAGTCCAACCTAATCATCTAGATGTATCATCTACAACAAGGTATGAGGTCATACCTACGGTGATTATACCTATCTATTTATCTTAGAACCAGAGGTATCTAGTCGGTGACCGACGCGACTGTAGCTGAATTTATTAGGAATTGGTCTTGATTTAGCTTTAGCAGTTACCGTACCTACGGCCCTACCTGAGGAATCTAGTTGGTATTTTATGATTTAGGTGTTAGGTTATGAATTGAGTTGTGGGTTTACCACTTTAGGGATTGGGTTAGATTTGTACCCCGACTAGTTGGTTTGTGTTCATGTTTGAGATTTATTTATTTTAGATAGTTAGGTAATTTGTCTTTAGGTAGGGTCCCCTCGTCCCTCGTCCCTACCCTCTTATTATTAATTAGTGCTACTATTCATAAACATACTAGTGGGAGAATATGAATAGGTAGGGAAATATAAATATTAGTTGGGTTGGAAGTTGGTCCACCTTTGTTGTAGGTGTAGGATTGGTCCCAACTAGTTGGTATCATCTTGTAGATCATCTGATACCTCCGGTTGGACCTGGATTGTTTATTAGATGTTTACGTAGTTTATCAAGTTACCTATTCATTTAGAATTTATTGGTGATCGATCATCTACCTACGGTTGCTGCTACAATAGCTAGGAGCCTTATTTATCTTCTACATTTCTAGTACAGTTTGATTCATCTACACTTGGGGTCAATCATTACATCTACTCGTTATCATCTAGGTAGGAATGTTGGTTGATCAAAATATGGGGTCGTAATAAAGTTGACTAATTCCCGCGGGTTTGGGATGAATCCTTTTGTAACAATTCCTTGATTCTGCCTCTAATTATATTGGTACCTACGACCCTCCTAGATATTGTCCTAGATGGTATACCTAGGTGATAAAGTTAGCTCGTCTAGAAGTCGGTCAGATGTCAAATATCTAGTATACTATGCAGTCCCGATGGTGATTTAGTAACTGGCGATGAGGATAGATATCTAGGCAACATCAAAGATGTACTAGACTTCAAGAGTGCTTGGACTCCTATCAGGTCGCAGCGCACGGCCTTGAACTCGACTAGCGTAGCACCGAATTCTATGGCTTCGTCTTAGTTGAGATGCGGCTGTGATCCCAAGTTGTTCAATTATAACGTGGCCAATGTTATCAATTAGATGATGGAAAGTTCATGGTAACCGACAGTTACAAGGGTATCGATTCCGGGATGAAATGTCTTATGAATATCCAAGCCATTTGTCTAGATGGTGACAGCTAACGTGGGAACGAAATAAATACCATAGGCTGGTTCGCGGGTGAACCATGAGGCTGATACGTGAAAGGCATGCCTCTCAGAGAGAGGAGAAACGTATCCCCTTAAGATGGAAGGGCCCTAAGGCATGAAGCCTAAGGGTTACTCAGTGCTGGTGTAGCGGAGCTTGTCGATGACATGCGAGCGCAAGTCATCGACTAGGATGAAATCTACAACCAGTAGCTTAAAGGCTATAAACTTGGGAGAAACTAACCACCTCTCCCTGAGAACTGCATATTCTTTGATGCCCTTGATGTGCTAAGCAGGCGGTCTCAGAGATGCGATCTCTTCGAGGCGGTGACGGGACTTGAACCTGCAACCCTCTGATTAAAAGTCAGATGCTCTAACCATTGAGCTACACCCTTTCCTATTCATATTCTCCCTAGGGTATGCTCCTACAAGGGGAGCCGGCCTGTATCTAGTCGATCAAAAAGTAAAATAGGAATCTAGTTGTCGATTCCATCTAGTAGAAGTAGAAAATAGAAACAGTTATTGTTTATGGATTCCATTTGTACCCTTAGGCACAGCTCTTAGATTTAGATGATACCCTATGATACCGTACCGACGGTTGTGGTCTTGTTGGTCTATTCGTAAATCTAGAATTGTGAATAGTTAGTCAAATCCAAAATCGAGATGACCTAGAATATCAATAACTCTAGTTGCGATTGCACCTGCTGTTGTCCCTGTTGGTCGATTGTACCTCATTAGGAATTGATATTGCACCTGTTGTCGTAGAAATGAGTTAGTCGACTGGTTGGGTCGACCCGATGAGAGCTAGTCGAGACTTGCTACGCCTCTTCCTGTGACGCCGTTGGATGATACCATCTAGTTGTAGATCAACCTGATCGATTGTAGGAGCAGACCATCTAATTGGAGGCGCTACGACCTCGTACCTCTTGTCCCTGCTGGTGCATGCACCTGCTACACCTGAGGTGGTATGATACCATCGATTAGTTAGTCGTCTAGTGTCCAACCTAGCCTAGAAATGAAGTCATACCATAACGCAAATAATTTGAGAATTAAAATATTGGTCCGACCTCGAAGTTGAAAAATAAAGATATATATGTATATACATCTGACCTAGAAGAAATAACCAGATCAACTACAACATCTACGAGTATAATTCAAGATCAATAGGTAATAATATTATTACAGTTAAAGGTAATATAAACAGAATTACTAATAAATAGATTCAGTATATCATGTTGATCCTAATTAATTAAATTAGAAGCAGAAAAGAAATCCAATTCCCGTGTGCGGGTAGAAGTAGAGCTAGACCGGTGGTCCTAGGAACACAACCCAGTGACATTATGAATAGAAAGGGAAAATAGAGATATAGGTGTAGCTTAATTGTAAAAGCGATGGATCGTTATTCCAGATGTTGTAGGTTCAGGTCCTACCGCCAAGTCCAACCTATAACAGGGTTGGCACCGTCCCCGTGGGTAGGGTTGTCCCCTCTCTTATTATTAGGAGCAGAGCGAGTCTGTTGTAGATGGTATCGTAACGATCTGTTAGTGTTACTACTTCTAATTTAAAAATGAGGTATACCTTTTTAATTAATTAGCTTCAATTGGGATTGGGTATTACTATTTTAGTTGGATTTATTAGGTTTAATTGTTTTGATTGTAACTGTATTTATTAGGTTAGGTTGTAACAGTTTGAGATTTATACAACAGGGAGGACTTCGAATATCTAAAATAGATCCTAAAAAGCAGAATTAATAAATAGCAAGCTCTCGTAGAGATGCAACCGAAGGTGTTGTAGGAGTGGTACCCGACATGAGGCAGTTTCTTGATTTAATTAAAATGTAGTCGAGCGCTCGTAGAGATGCAACCGCACCAACCAAAGGATCTAGGTCATGCGACCTTGTCGGAGGACCCGCGAAGCTAGCTACGCTCAGAAGGTCCACCTTCTAGTTGGCAGAGGCAGCAATTATATCACCTGGCACTCGAAGAGATGGTCTACAATTAATCATCCTGTGGTTCCTACACCTGCAATTACGATTACCTGCATTTATTAACCAGATCTGTTACACCTACAACACCTACTCGTAGGGATCAATCAATCATATACATCCTAAAGTATATCATAAACATGTAATTGAGATCAACTACAATATCCAAGAGTGATTCTAGATCGTAGGTAAGGTCTAGACCTATAAAAGTAGAAGCAGAATAATTCTCAAACATGTTATCATCTAAATCTGTTACAACATCTACTTGGACAATCGAATCAAGACCAATAAATCATAAACAATCACATCTAGAATAGATGGACAATCGAAGAAAAGAGCAAAAGATTAAGTTGATCTATATTTCTTCTCTATTCATATTGTCACCCCTATGTGATCCTGAATAAATCACAGGTAATCTCCTTTTAAACACACACCTGTGAGAATATGAATAGAGAGAGAGTCCGAGGTCAAAAAATAAATGAAATGTTAGTGATACTTTTAATTATACCAGCTTAGTCTATTGTAACTATATGGTAGTATTGCCAATTAGCTAAAGAGGTTATCTTTACAGCTTAGGCTTTTTCTTTGATTAATTAGGTGCATACTTTGTTAATTATGCACTATTTCGATTCTTCCACCGCGGCTTTTCAATTTCAAACTTAGGGCGTACTAGGTATAGATGGTATTTCTTAGTGGTTGATTTGGTTAGTTAATATGTTAATGCCAATTGTAATTTTAAGTAGTTGGAAAGCAGTTAATATTCTTATCAAACCTTTCATTATTTTATTATTATTTATTAGTTTTTGGTCTATATCAGTATTTATGGTTTTAGATCTTTTATTATTTTATATTAGTTTTGAAGGTGTTTAGATTCCTATGTTTTTCTTAATTGGATTTTACGGTGGTCGTAACCGTAAAATTCATGCTGCCTATCAATTCTTTCTTTATACTTTATTTGGTTCGTTATTATTATTCATGGCATTAATTGTACTATATCTTGAAACAGGTACAACTGATTATCAAGTACTCTTAACCATCCCTATTTCTCAAAATCGCCAATATTTTTTATGGTTAGCTTTCTTTATTTCTTTAGCTATTAAAATCCCTATGATTCCTGTACATATTTGGTTACCAGAGGCTCATGTCGAAGCTCCGACTGCCGCTTCAGTTATACTAGCCGCAGTTTAGTTGAAACTAGGTAGTTACGGATTTATTCGTTATTCGATTCCTCTATTCCCTGATGCTTCTACTTATTTTACTCCTCTTGTTTGTACTTAGTGTATTTAGGGTATTATTTATAGTAGTGTTGCTTGTCTTGCTCAATGGGATATGAAAAAAATCATAGCTTATAGTTCGATTGGTCATATGAATACAGCAACTATTGCTTTGTTTACCAATGATTATCATGGTCTAAGTGCAGGTGTATATTTCTTAATTTCCCATGGTTTGATTTCAAGTGCTTTATTTCTTCTAATTGGTGTGTAGTATGATCGTTATCACACACGTACGATTAAATATTACCGTGGTTAGGTCATGGTTATGCCAGTTTTTACAGTTCTTTTCTTATTATTCTCTTTTGCTAATATTGCCGTACCTGGTACTAGTGGATTCATTAGTGAATTTCTAACCTTTCTTGGTGCTATGAATCTAAATCCCTTTGTGGCTATTTCTGCTAGTGTTGCTATTGTTTTAGCACCAGCCTATGCTCTTTGGTTTTTTCATAGAGTATCTTATGGTTCTTTCACAACTTATTTACCATCTATATATCAAGATGTAACAGCTAAAGAACTACACCTTTTATTACCTTTATAGTTTTTCACATTTCTTTTCGGTATTTATCCTTCCCTTATTTTTGATTCTTTACATATGTCTTGTCTTGCTCTGCTTCATGCCTGTTGTCCTAAATTAGGTAATAATATACCTATTGCTAATAATGTGGTGATCCCACTACTCGACCCAAATCTAAAAGATAAATAGAATGGTACCCGTCTAGGTGAGGTGGTCCACCGCGGGCTTCGAGACACCTTGAGCAGCAGGATTCGAACCTGCGACATCTGGA